ATCGACGTCCACCACGGCGACGGCGTCGAACAAGCTTTCTGGTCCACCGACCGCGTCCTCACCGTCTCCTTCCACAAATATGACAAGGATAACTTCTTCCCCGGCACCGGTGGCCTCGACAGCACGGGGCCCACCCATCCCCTCAACCCAGGCGCCCACCACTCCGTCAACGTCCCCCTCCACGACGGCATCGACGACGAATCCTACATCCAACTCTTCCGCGACGTCGTCGGCTCCTGCGTCGAAGTCTACCGCCCCGGCGCCATCGTCCTTCAATGCGGTGCCGACTCCCTCGGCTGCGACCGTCTCGGCTGCTTCAACCTCAACGTCGCCGCCCACGGCGCCTGCGTCGCCTTCGTCAAAACCTTTAACCTCCCACTCCTCGTCGTCGGCGGTGGCGGCTACACCCCGCGCAATGTCTCCCGAGCCTGGGCCCACGAAACCTCCATCCTCATCGACGCCCAGGATACCATCGACCCTCACATCCCCGAAACCGTCACCTTCCGCAACCACTTCGGCCCTGACTTCTCCCTTTTCCCACCCCTCTCGGAAATGCGCAAGCTCGAGAACAAGAACCCTCGCACTTACCTCGCCGGCTTGCTTCAATCCATCCGCGAACAGCTTCGATATATCCAAGGTGCTCCGAGCGTGCAAATGAGCTTCATTCCTCCGGATATCCTCGGTCTTCGCGAAGACACCGAGAAGGAAATCGAAGAAGAGACAGCCATGATGGATGAGGAACGCGAAGAACGATCTGGCGGTGGTAGCTTAGGAAAGTCGAGTCGACGGAGAGATTTGGAGAGAGGTGCTGGGCAGCGGGGGGAGCTTTTCTGATACCCACCTTCTTCATGCACTCTCTTTCTCTTTAATACCGGTGTCTGTCTCGCATTTTCTTCGTCGGGTTTGTTTCTGGAGTTGGTGGGGAACTGGAATCTATTGGGCCGGATGATGGCGTTTTCTTTTCTTCATTTGTCTAAAACTCATTATAATTGCGTTGTTTACTTGTATCTTTGGGTGGTGTGTGCTGGTTGTTATAGAAAGTATACATCTGTATTAGAGGGATGAGGAGGGGGTGGTGGTGATATGATATTGTCCTGTATAATACATATGCTAGAAATGTCTTTAGAAAAGGATAAGAAACATCAGGACATATCATGGGTATTGTTGTATGGTTGTATTTGAATGATGTTAAGTGGAGTTATTCAATAGTCAATCCTTACTGGGGCGAGGATGTGGAATTAGAAGCAGCAGGTAGACTACAAGGTGCAAGAAATAGTTATTACATAGAGGAGAAATACTAAGTATTTGAAAGGTCTGATAGTATTCAATTACTCTTTAAGATGAAACATTATCTGAATCTGATATAGATCTAACAGATCTAGGATTCAATCATATCAAAGCCGACGCCAACTGAATGCATACGCATCGTTTAAACTTAAGCTCAGGCTGACTGACTATAGCCAAGCGAGCGTCCACAAAGCCGGCAAATGAGGCCATTTTTCCTGCCACTCAGCAAGGATATCAGGCACGCGAGCATCGAAATTCCGTCTCGCCTCACCGACTCCATTCTCCCATCCATCGGCACCACTGGTCTTTCTCTCCTGCGAAGCAGCCTCATTTAACCGATTTGCTAGATCCAAGATAGCCTTGCCTCCTACTAACGCCTCTTCGTGATTATCCTTGATATCCACGTTGAAGACATGCACGGGGCGGTTCAAAGGTGACCCCTTATTCATGAGATCGTCTACCACGGCATCCCAGCACCGCTCTTCACAAGTGATGATTACATCGACGACGCCGCCTTCAGTACCTAGGGCGCCCTTATCGCCCTTCGAGACGTGCTCGACGCGCGGCTGTCCCGGCACCCAGTCCTGGAAGCGCTCCGGGCCCCATTTCAGGTTACGGTTGCGCTCGAGCATGTTCAGGAGACCGTTGTTGCGGTACAGACGCTCGTCTTTGGAGAGCAGCTCGTCGTACATTTGGGAGTAAGAAGTTGTGTTGAAGTTGTAGACGTTGGGTTGGGTGATAGAGGGTCCGGGCAGTCGGACTAGAGAGCCCGTCCCGAAGGAAATTACAGGGAAGGGGCTCGACGCTGTGGAGAGCCGGAGGTGGGCTTCCATGGAGCGGTTTTGGTTGGAGGCGCATACGGTGCAGAAACGGAGTTTATAGGAGGATGATGAGGACTCCGATTCTGCGACTGCGTTGTTGATGGCCTCGTTCGGCGTGGAGGTGGGTTGAGGTTGGGTTGTTGTTGTTGGTGTGCCCATGGCTTCTGGGGGAGGTGGGGGTGGTGGTGGAGGGGAGGGAGCGGTCGCAGTGCCTGCACTGGACAGTCGGGGGTCGTAGGCCATGATGAGGAGTGTGATAGCCGCGTTTGGTGTGACCGTAGGTTAGGTTTAGGTGGTGTGTGGTGAATTCGGTAAGTGATCGTTGGGGGGTATCAAGGAGGCTGGAAGGTGTGTTGTTCACTAGTTGGGCCCTGTAATGACTACTGACAATTAGAATCCGCGGCAGAAACAAATTCAATGGTAGTGACAAAGAAGTATAGTGTAAGGGGTGCAGGATTCAGTTAAAAGTTGCGTAAGTAATTAAAGTTTGTCCGCATAATGTGCTAAGACAGCTCCAATATATAAAGATTTCATCATGCTGCGGGGAGAATTGGGATTGGACTAGATGGGTGCATTGCATATACATACCTTAGAAAAGCCTCGCATCATCTGCAATTCATTTACGCTGGTTCTACTGGGTGTGGGATGGATGTTGTTGATGAAGGGCCGCAGCCCTGAGTTGACAAAGTGAAGAAGTTTGTGTCGGCGGATTTCGCGCGCCTTTTGTGGTCATGTGCGCTGACTAAGCCGCGTGATGCTCACTATGCCCGATTGGGACAGCTTGAGCATGGATGGCGATGGAGGCTGGGCATTTCTCTTGACTGAGAGTCGGGCTTGGCTTTGTTCTTATGGAGTAGATTGAACTCTTCCTGCATCTTAAAGGTCGCCAAGTTGACTGAGAGGAGCATCAACATGGTATTTATCGACATGATCCTTCCCAGATGATTACTTCGTATCATCGAGCGGGGTCTAAGAACTAGTCCGGCCGTATGTTACGATAATAGCTGCCTACAGTTCCTCTGACGTCCCTCAAAGCGACACTACCTACCTGTCTGCATACATATCACAAAAGACAGACCTAACCACTTCAAACGGTGCTCAAAACTGACAAAGATCACGTTAGCGTTAACTACCACCATCCAAGATGAAAGCAGCCTTGATAGTTGTCGACATGCAAGAGGACTTTTGCCCTCCAGTCCGTACCCTCCCCAACCCTCAACTACACAGCTCTATACTAACAAACCCAACCAGAACGGCTCCCTCGCTGTCAACGAAGCCCGCACCCTCGCCCCAACAATCAACACCCTCCTCTCAAACCCAGGCTTTACCCTCCGCATCGCATCCCAAGACAGCCACCCACCAAACCACATCTCCTTCGCCCCGAACCACCCCCCGCCCAACAACCTCCCCTTCGAGCACTTCATCGAGATGAGCAACCCCGCAGCAGGCAAGGAAACCGAGACCAAGCCTCAACGGCTCTGGCCCGTCCACTGCGTAGAGGGCACCAAAGGCGCGGAAATCATCCCGGAAATCGACACCAAGAACATCGACCTCTACGTGCGAAAGGGCATGGATGCGCGGGTGGAGATGTACTCGGCGTTTGCGGATGCGTTTGGGAACCTCGATGCGGAGGTGAATCGGTCGTCGGTGGATGTGCATTTGAAGGGGGCATTGGAGGAAAAGGGCATTACGGATGTGTTTTGTGTGGGTGTTGCTGGGGATTATTGTGTTAAGTGCACGGCGATTGATGCTGCGAGGGCTGGGTTGAGGAGTTATCTTGTTGAGGATGCGGTTAGGTGTGTTGATCCGGGGGTGGGGTGGGAGGAGGCCAAGAGGGAGTTGAGGGAGGCCGGGGTGCTGGTGGTTAGGTCGGATGGGCCGGAGGTTGGGGGGTTGTTAACTGGGGTGGTGTAGGGGTTGTTTGTTAGTTGATGATTATGTGTATATGTGTATATGGGATGTGATGGTGGTTGCGAGATGGGTGGCATGCTTGACGTGCATGCTGTATGTATGTGGTGTGCTTGTGCAGGTGTATACCTGGAGTGAGCATCGCAGCTCTGTACGGGGTAGGGATTGAGCTATAGATAGATCAAGATATGCCAAGTCGTACTATAAATGATTTAGTGGATCTAGATACATGGCCTATAATAGTGACTCTAAGACATGTTTCATCTGTAGCTGCACAATAAAAGAAATAAGTATAGGCTAGATACAAAGAAAGGACCGTGGATAGCGACAAGTTCAACCCTGGCAGAACAATCTGACAGGTCTCCACAGTGGAGTTGGGGCGGACGTTTGCAACGGCTTCTAGAGATCACCGGCTGTTCAGAACTCAGAGAAATGGGAAAGCCAAAATCACTTTCAGATGTATGGAGAATCTGACGATATACGCGTTGGCTTATATTATTCCATCGCGTTCGATTTAATTAGCTACTATCCTTTCCCCCTCTCCTTAATAACATGACCGTCAATCCCTTCTGGAATGGGCAGCGGGGCGTCGCGGCATCCCCATACTTTCAATAATCAATAACTCATCGCCACCGCATCCGGAACCGGTCACCGTTCATAATATCAGCTCTTACAGCTCGATTCGGGTCGGTGCTTTTTCTGTTCTTTTCTTGCTTCTTTTTTTCCTTTTCACCGGGTCGTTGTGTCTTACCTGCTGCTTGTCTTATACATTGGGTGCTGTCCGCCATATAGACTCGAACGTTCTTCCTCCTGCCACCGCTCGTCTCTCGATAGAGTCAGACCGTTGCTATGTCGTCCGCTGCAACCTACACAACCTTTCACGAGGGACTCAGGTCTCCGGATGTCAAAGCCTCGACCAAGATACTCAGTCCGACAACCAGCCTTGCTCCAAAGACCTTACCGTACTGGCTTGTCAATGTTCCCCGCTCGCAATGGACAGCAGAATGTCCCAGCTATCTACGCGACATGTCGCAGAAAAACATCGAGGTGCTTTCGACCCCTGACGAGCAGTACCGAAGACAGGGATGGGAGCTAGTCAAGGAGATAGTTCGTATGTTCGACCAAATGAAACCGTGCGTCAGGGGGGAAAGGACGTGGTCCGTGAGTGAGTGGTCCGCTAATAGGTGATGGACAGGGTCCAACCAGATCGATCGGTTTCAGCGTCTTCCTAGCGATTTGAGGAGGTATCTTGAGTACAAGGAGCAGATTGTCGCGGAGTATGGATCGATCATGCGGTTTGTCGTGAAGGAACGGCTTCGCTGGGGAGAAGGGACGGCGGATGATCTGAAGCCTAAGGGGCGGCCGTTTGAATATGATGGTTCGTATTCAATGTTCTCTTTCTTCTCGTTCATCGGATGAGACTTGGGCTGCCTGCGAGTCGAGATAAGTGCTAAGCATGATTGTGAGGGCTAGAGGATATCCGCATTCTTTACAATGACTGGCCGTATGGAGTCGAGGAAGGCATCGTTCACTTGGTGGTGTGGACAAAGTTCGAGCTGGAGGATGATCCAGTCACGGATGACCTGACGCCACGCGCACGACAGGAGATTGAGGAGTATGTGCAACGGACGTTTCTCTCACGGATGCCAGCCGATCAGGTATGTATTGATTAGAATGTTGGAAGGAATGCGCCAGGAAGCGGTGGTGGCGATGGGTGATGCTTTTGTTCATGATACTAATACGAGGGTAGGTCATCTGGTTCAAGAACTGGAAGTCATTAAAGTCAGTGCATGCCGTGGAGCACTTCCATGTCATGCTGCACCATCCCGATGCGGAATTTCTACGGGAGATCACAGGAGGGGATGCTCCGCTGAAACGACAGTCGGCATGAGTAGATACTAGAGATGGATTGATTTAGTTGATGGTTAAGGGTTAATCCGGCATAGAGATAGACGAGATGGGTAGATGGGTCCCTCAGACTATGATCTGAAGGAAATAATAATAACCACCAACCATTATAGGAGGCCGAGGAGGTGATCATCGGCATTGCTTGATGCTTGAAACATGAGAAGAAAAGATATGAAAAAGAAAAGCAAAGCGATGGGCTGTCATCCGTCATCCCCACTGCCAAGCCTGTGTGCCCCTCTTGATCGCGAGTCCAGTGGGAAATTTTGAACGGCGATCGGGAGTTGGAAGGTGGTTGCGGTCTGTAGCATAAGAACCGGCGAGGAAAGAGTAGATATCATATACTTATAAGCCTTCAGGAAGATGCCGTGTCACCAACCAAGAGTACTATATATTATACACAGTTATACACTGGAGGCGAGAAGAGCCACCGTGGAAAGAAAAGCCCTCAGGCAAATCCGAATCAAGGCACTTTCCCATCAACGTCATTCAGCTCCAGTTTCAGTAGCAATCATCCATCCGGATTCCCTCACACTCACCGTCTCTTGTGTCCCCTAGAGTAGAGTTAGTAGTATTTATTAATAGAGACCTTCCCGTACACTGCGGCCTTCCCTCCTATTTTTCTGCAGAATTGATTGTTGGTTTCAGGAACTTGATCCCGACACTGTCCGTCATCCCGACATTGAAAGGCATTATTTCTTTGGAGTGACTGATAGTCTCTTCTGCCATTTATCCACATCCATTGTTTTAATTAATTAATTTAAGAGACCCCAAGTGACACCACAATTGAAATACTGCCCAAACCCCCTCGAGAATCGAGTCACTTATTATTGTACGCCGCAGTCCGGTTGCATCGGTGTCTCCTCTCCATACCCCCCGTGTTGTACTTTCTCACACCAGCAAAGTTAAAAGGGAAAACAAGAAGTACAAGACCAACCACTATTACCACCACCACCATCACCACCACCAAAGAAACATTAGATCAAATAAATACAACAGAACCACGGAACGTCATGCCCATCTCCGTCCCGCACATCCGCCGACGGTCATCGCTTGCCAGTGAGTGAAGTTTGTTGCCGTCATCCGGTCGAGACTCTTCCCTCTTTTTTTTTTCTGTTGCTGCTGCTGCTCCTCCCACGTCATTCCTGTCTGGCTGCCTCAGTCAACTTTACTGCTACTGCTGCTGGCTGCCTCAACATCCCCTCTCCGCCGCCCTTTTCTCTACTCTTCCCCTCCTTGGCTCTCTCTCTCTCTCTCCTCCGACCGGCTGTCTTTTCACCACCTCTCTTCCATCTCGCGCATTTCTGCTGCCCACCATCATGTCTGCTGACTGGGGCTCTTTTTTTCATGTTTCAGGTAATCGTTCACACGATGAGCCCAAAGCTGAGCCCGTGAGCGGGGACGACGAGATCGTCGAGCCCGACCAGGGAAATGGTACGTAGCTATCCCCCTCACTATGACCAAAAAAAGACAAACAAAAGAAAATACCACTGCAAATACCTAGTCTTTCCATTCTCACTGACCTATTTGTAGTTCTTTCCCACATTATCTCGCAGCTCCGACCGGGAGCCGACCTGAGTCGGGTCGTCCTGCCCACTTTTATTCTCGAACCCCGATCTATGCTGGAGCGCATCACCAAGTATGTCGGAGTATCTGCATCGCATGTGAAGAAGCAGTAGCTTACTGATTTCCTCTGCATCCAGCTTCATGGCGCACCCCGAAACACTGCTTCCTATGCCAACCATAGATGACCCCCTAGAACGATTCGTTTCCGTCGTCAAGTTCTATCTCAGCGGATGGCACATCAAACCTCCGTATGTTGTCGCTCTCCTTGAGATGGTTTCATTCCACCAGTTCCGGTCTTGCTGACACCTGTCCCAGAGGAGTGAAGAAGCCGCTGAACCCGATCCTCGGAGAGACTTTCACCTGTTACTGGGACTACCCCGACGGTACCCGTGGGTACTATATCGCCGAGCAGACCTCTCACCACCCGCCCAAGTCGAGCTACTTCTTCATGGCACCCGAGCACAACATCCGGATAGATGGCACCTTGAAACCCCGCAGTAAATTCCTCGGAAACTCGGCCGCAAGCATGATGGAGGGTATTGCGATCCTGCGGTTCTTGAACCGCGGACAGGACAAGGAGAAGGGCGAACGATAGTAGGTGGACCTGCCATCCGCGCATAAGGACAGCTCTAATCTGGCCTAGCATCTTGACGCAACCGAATATGTACGCCCGCGGCATTCTTTTCGGAAAGATGAAATACGAGTTGGGTGACCACAGCTACGTGCGGTGCCCAGAGAACAACCTCGTTGCCGACATTGAATTCAAGACCAAGGGCTACTTCTCTGGTACTTACAATGCTATCGGTGGGACAATCAAGAACGAAAAGACCGGCGAGGTATACTATGAACTGTCCGGTCTCTGGAACGGCGAGATGCACATCAAGGATGTTCACGTAAGTTCTCCTTCTTACACGGAGGACTGTCAATCTAACTCGAACAGACCCATAAGAAGGACCTGCTCTTTAACGCTACGCATGCGAAGCACACACCTCCTTTGACCAGACCTATTGAACAGCAGGGCGAGCGCGAGTCGCAGCGACTGTGGCAACCCACCGTGAAGGCGATCATTGCCAGGAACCACGAGGCAGCTACGGATGAGAAGACCAAGATTGAGGACCGCCAAAGAGAAGAGGCAGCGAAGCGTGCCGATGATGGCGTCGAATGGCACCCCCGGCTGTTCCGACGGGTGCAGGGCGGGCCCCACGGCCCCGATGAGGGAGAAGAGGACCTAGACTGGATCATCAATGCACATGTGTAAGTTTCTGCTTTGGCATCGGAAGGATAACAGGACTAACGACCCCAGCGACTCGCACAACCCCGAGATCGCCGCCAAACAAATTCTGGCCATTGCCCCGATCCTCGAAGGTCAGACAGAACCCACCCAGTTCCAGATTCCCGCACACAAGGGTAAGGAGTCTGCTGCGACAGCCGATCCAGCCGATGGCGCTGACTCCGCTCAGAGCGAGCCTAAGAAAGAAGCAGAAGAAGCCGTCGAACGCAAGGACTCACGGACATCGGATGTCGATGCCTACGTCGATGCCAAGGAGAAATAGGTATAACTGACTTCCTGGATGGCTCCAGTTGACGATGATAAGTCGTTGAATGAGCTAGACATGCGGAGGCCAAGTGACCTATAAGTGAGGCACAATATAGAAGAGCGAAAACCATGAAACTTCAAAGAACCGAAAAGCAAGGAAATGGTAGGTCGAGCCGTCATTCACATCAACATAATTGACCTGCTCGAGGATTCCAACGCGAGAAACAAGGGAAAGAGTCCGGCCAACCACGAACATTCAACACATCACTCAACATACCCACCATTTCCATCAGATTACTATACTGGATACCCGATTGATTTAATATGCAGAGACTGCGACAAAAGTTGAAAAAGAACGGACAGGAGAAGGCCTCCAGACGGACCGGAGCACGGATGATGGGCAAAAACTTGCTTACTATATGTGGATATACATATCATCATCTGGGATACCATGACGTGGGATGGGCATTGATACAGCTAGCGTTTAGGTGATTGATACTTTAGCATTAATATAGACTATGGTTGTGGATAATGCATAATTTTGACTTTAGTAACTTATTCTCTGTGCCCAGTTGGCCAGCCTTAAGTTGGGAGTCAGCGTCCAACCAGCCATCCTGTATGCAATCCAAAACCATTACACGCACCTTCGCCACCCCCCTGAAAAGAAAGGGCAAAAATAAACACGAACCAGTAAATAACTTATAAATAACCTTCCCCAAGACGATCACAGCTCTCCCACATACTGATATATAATGCAATTCCTAATCCGGAGTTTCTCCTCCTGCCCAATCAGATCTATCCATCATGAAGAAAGAAGCAAATAAAAGGGGGTAAAATGGAAACTTAAAAGTTGAGAACGAACGGTGAAGGTGGAGATTGATGACGTAGTAGTTATGTATGTATGCATGCATGTGATGCTTGTTTGTTTACTTATTTCATTGTATTCTAGTCATGGTTATCTTTACATTGACTTTCTTCTTCTTATATTTTGGGTAAAGAGTAAAGTATGTGTGGATGGATGGACGGATGGATGGCATCAATAGTAACTGAAGTATGATGTAGGTAGAGGGGGGAAGGAATCTAGATCGATTTGTAGACTGGTCTGTAGGTAAGTATATGTGCGTAGGGGGAGATCAGTACAAGTTGATAGATAGCTGCTCGTAGTAATATTTCATATGGTATTAATCGTCACTCATTGCTGATTTTAAAATAACGAAATGATTAACTTGGGTATATAAGTAGTAGAACTAGACAAAAACGAATCCAAAACCCCGTGTCCCTAGCGCCCTTGTAACCAATACTCCAGAAAAGATAGATAATAATAATGATTATACCAACTGAAAGGTTACGATGGTTGGGAAAGTTTCTCCCGTCGCTCGGTATACCAACGCTCCAAGCATGCGCGTCTCTGCGCCTGTGTCATGCCCTCTACGACAAGGGCGAACTCGGTTGCGTTTGGGAAGCCGTATCGTCTCGCCATGCTGCAGAATTGTCGTTTCATGACACGCTTTGGCGGGTGGAATTTGTATTTGATTGGTTGATTGGTTGTAGATGATGATGACTTCTTATGGGACTGCGATTGGGACTGCGATCCTGCAAATACTTGCATGTCAAGGTTCTTGGTATTCTCGTCGGCGAGTTCGGCGCGACGGCTGAGTCGTTCCTCGACTTTGGATGACCCGATGACTTCGTTGTTAAGGTGGGTGTATTCGACCCCTGCGCCGGCGAGGATGGCTTGGATGGGGTCATGTTTGGTGTTGATGGGAGTTTTGGGGTTGGTAGATTCTTCGTCGTCCTCGCCGCGGATCATGGCTGCTAGCTGGCTCATGACTTCGTTGGCGTCGTCGGATTTGCTAGTGAAGGTTGTGTCGGAGACGTTGGGGTCAAAGTCTACGTCGATGTCCATAACCTGGACGCCGGCTTTGCTTTCAGCGACGTTGGTTTTGTTGACGATGTCGCGGAGAAGGATGTTCTGGTTCTTGTATTCGAATAGATTGTCGAGACCGAAGAGCTCACCCTTCTGGTCTTTCTTCTCCTGGACACCCTTAAAGTAGCGGCGTTCCGAGGTCGCATTGTAGCCGATGTTGGCTTGTTGTTGTTTGTAGATCTGCCGGGCATAGACGATCTCTTCGATGGTGCCGGCGCTGATGAGTCGGAAGACTTCGACATCGCGAGATTGGCCGATACGGTAGGCGCGATCTTGCGCTTGAAGGTCATGCGAGGGATTCCAGTTGGGATCGACAATGACAACCTTGTTGGCGGAAGTTATGTTGAGTCCGACACCGCCAGAGCGGGTGGAGATGAGAAAGACGAACTGGCGTGGGTTGGAGTTGAAGTCGTCAACAACTTTAGTGCGCTCTTCATAGCTCATAGAACCGTCGAGGTAGCTGACGTTGTAGCTGGTGTAGTGAAAGAGCATCTGGAGCATCTTGAGGAGGCGCACACTGTGGCTGAAGACGAGCACTTTGTCGCCATTGGCGTGCCACCACTTCAGCAGTCGGCGAAGGACCTTCCATTTACCGCAGAACTCGGGATTTGCGTAATTGACAATGGAGTCCCGGGAACGGTAAAGCTTTTCCCATTGCTCGGGCACAGCCAGTTCCAGCATCTCTTTGTCCTTTTCTTGTTTCTCGTTAGAGTCGACTCCCTGCGGGATGAGGATTGCCAGGTGGTTGCTGAGTTTCTGCAGCACTGCTATCGCAGGAAATACATAGCTTCGCCAGGTGAGCCCGGATGGTAGAAACTGACGACAGCACCAGCCGGCTTTCTGCCGGGAACCACAGTCACAAGGGTCGCTGGAGTGTTTGATATAGCTGACCATGTCGCTTCCCAGAATGTTCACGTAAGCGTCAGCCTGAGTATCAGTGAGTGGACAGAAGACGACCCGGTCAACCTTCTTGGGGAGCTGGTCTGCAATCAGTGTCTTCATCCGGCGGAGGAAGAACTGCGGCAGGAGGTTCTCCACCAATTTCTTCGCCGTCTTTCGCGCTCTACGCAGCTGATGCACGGTGGCGTCGTGTGACTGACCAATCTTCAAAGGTTCAGAAATGGTCTTCTTCCAGACAGTTACCGGGCCGAGCATCCCTGGATTCGTCCAGTTCAGAAGGGTCCAAAGCTCCTCGTATTTGTTCTGAATGGCAGTTCCGGTCAAGCCAATTCGGCAAAGAGCGTTGATCATGTTCATGGCTTTAGTCGTTTCCGACTTGCGCTCCTTGATGACATGGCATTCATCTGCTATCACGCAATCCCAGTCGACCATATTGATGGCATCCTTGTTGTGGAGATAGGTACTATAGGTGGTGATCAAGATTTCCAGTCTTCCGGACCGCGCAGCTTGGAGCGCAAGCTCCTTGTTCTCTCCATGGTAGGTGTCGAAATGCCACCAGCCCCAACGCGAAAGCTCGGCCATCCAGTTCTTAAGAAGAGTCCCCGGGCAGACAATCAACGTTCGGGGATACCACTGATCGTGCCCGCTTCTCCGCATCTTTCTCATTCGCTTGGCGTCTCTTTCATCGCCTGTCTTCCCATACGCCGCTGTGAGGAAAGCAATAACCTGTACCGTCTTTCCCAGACCCATGTCGTCTCCAAGGATTCCACCCTTCTGGTAAACAAACAGCTCATGGAGGAAAGCAGCTCCATCGACCTGATACTGGCGCAACCACTGCGCGATCGGGGCGGGTATGAGTCCCAACGAATAAGGAAGAGTGATGTCCTTGTACTGATTGCATGGCTTCATATTCTCAAAAGTAGGCTTTTCCGCCAAAGATTCCAACCTCTCATCGTCAGAGAATTCAACATCGTCGTAGCCTGGCGGCAACTTCAGTCCGGATTGCTTCAGATACTCTGTCCTCCGGTCAAACTGCGAGCGTCGTTTCTGGAGATAATCCGGTAAAGTATATTCCATCAGTTCATCCTCCGATGACACTTCCTCTCCGTAGACTCGTAATGGCCGTCTCGGTCGGGCTTTCCCGTCCGAAGTTGGGAGTCGGCCGACAATAGAGTTTGAGCTTGCGACTCTCGTCACCTTAGCAGATCTATTCTTCAGGTTTGCGGTGCTCCGTTTCCGTTTCGTGGCCTTTCGATTCTTGAACTCCTTGTATGCGGCCTCGCCCTCATTGAAGGAGTCATCTCCGCTGTCGGTGTCGACCACCTCCACCACTGCGTGGCTCTTCTTATCAAGTGGCGAAGAGGATTGCTTGACCGTAGTTGGGATAGTGTTTGTTGGCCGGCGTGGAGTCGTCACTTCGGACTTTGGGGCATGTTCCCTATCTATGATCATCGAGCAGTCAGATATGTCTTGCAATTAAGGTATAGATAAGGTGCGGGGACAGACCAGCGACAGAAAGCGAAGTTGGCTGTAAGACCAACGGGCGTGTCCCGTCGAGATCATCGTCATCAGATCCGACTGTAGTCGCGTCAGTATCCTCGATCTCCACGTGTGAGCCCATGTCCGCCTGAGCTCTGGCAGAAGCTATCTAGACCGACCGTTGAGGGGAAGGCTGAAGCAAGAGTAAGAGAGCTGGAAATGCGGAGACGCGATGGAGTCAAACGGGCTTCCCGATTGGGCAAGCAGCTGACTGAAGAATTCCGCGCCGAAAAGTCAAACTCCGCAACCAATTCCCCTCTTCTCCGCCCATTGCTCGCCCTCGACTTGAAACTGAGCCTGCATACTACGTCGCTTTGTACCTGTGCTCGAACTGAATTCTCCGAACCGGCTTTCTTATTCTTTCGACAAATTTTGACAGCGCATGGTGCGGGGAACCACGCCAAAACTTCCTCCATCTTGATTTCGGCATACCGATTAAAGCACCTCCCAATTCACAATGCCTCTCGACACATCCACAACATATCCCCTCACCAAGCTTCGCCTTGATGGCCGTCGCTGGAATGAGCTTCGACTGCTCCAAGCTCAGATCTCCACGAACCCCGCCAGTTCGGGCTCATCCTACTTGGCCATGGGCAACACCGCGATCCTGTGCTCCGTCCACGGTCCTGCAGAGGGACGTCGCGGTGATGCCACGGGTGGTGCTGCGGGATCAGCAGGTGCGGTAGTAGAGGTGGATGTCAATGTTGCAGGATTTGCTGGAGTGGACCGCAAGCGCAGAGCCGGCGGAAGTGACAAGTACGTTTCTCACTATCGTCATGTCTGTAGTGTCTGCTATGACTGGTACTGACTAAGTTCTTAAACAGACAATCTTCGCGCGTCGCAACGATACTACGCTCTGCTTTCCAGTCGCATCTTCATACCCACCTCTACCCTCACAGTACGATCAGCATCCACGTCTCAGTTTTGTCGTCAGACGGATCGCTCCTCGCCGCGGCGGTCAATGCCTGTACGCTGGCGCTTGTGGATGCCGGTATTCCCATGCCAGGACTCCTCTGTGGGTGTACGTCAGGAATGAGCGGCAGTGCGTCTACGCCGCGGGATCCGAATAATGACACTTTGGATCCGCTGCTGGACTTGTCTCTGCCGGAGGAGCAGGAGCTTCCGTTCCTTACGGTGGGGACGACGACGGCTGTGCCGGTGGGAGAGGCGGCTATGATTAATGAAGATGAGGACGAGATGAAGGTGGCAATGCTGACGATGGACTCCAAGGTGCATTGCACATATGTTGAGACAATGTTGGCGGTGGGAATTGACGGATGCAAGCAGATCCGGGAGATCTTGGAGGGGGTGATCAAGAAGTCGGCACGCCGGTGATGACTCGGTTTGAATTCTGTTTCTTTTTATCTGCTATCTGGGATCTTCTACAGGGCAGCGCGATAGGGCTAGTTCTGTTTATACCCAGTGATTGCCATGAGGTGTTGGGCGCGGCGGGATGGATCGTTTCAATGTGATATTTGAATATTCCAGCGAATACAGCCAAGTTGCTAATCAAATGCTACTGTAGACGTCCACTGTAGTCTGCTTGATTCACTGGGCCCTCGTGGGCCCACTGGTCAGGAGCTACCTACATAATGTGCTCAAACCAGAGACCGTCTTCCCTTGACGCGGCAGGGCTCTTTCTACTGTGGAGGGCGCGTTAATACTGATTCATACTTAAATAACATGAAGATGGATCTGCATACAAGAACACGCTCCTGACATACACGTATCCAAAGTCAGAAAACTAGTCCCTTACCTCTGCTTTCTCTCCTCACTGCTGGTTCTTCTCTTCTCCAGGATACTCTTAATCTGTATCTACTACAGTCCTTACCAACTAGCCTTTCCATCTTCTATTCATTCACCTCACTCATCAACCCTCAAACACCATAGACAACATGAATATGACCACAGAAACCACCACATCAGCCATCATGAGCACCAGCACCACTACCACCATGGCCATGGCCATGGCCTCTACCAACTGCAAGATCTCAGTATACCCTCCACCACCTCATCCCAAAACCCCAGCGCCCAACTAACCATACCCAGATGCTCTGGAACTGGAACACCATGGACGCTTGTAAGTCATCCAACACTTCCTAAACCCCTCAAAACCACCCAGAACTGACTACAAGCAAAAGGCTTCATCTCCTCATCCTGGCACATTACCTCCCCAAGCATGTTCGCCGGCTCCTGCATCGGAGTCGTCTTCCTCGTCATATGTCTAGAATTCCTCCGTCGAGTTGCCAGCGAATACGACGCGTTTATCATCAACCGCGCCAGACTCAAGGCCCAATCTCTAGATACTGATCAACCCAGCATTCCAGTCCTTAATGACCGCTCCACAGACAAACCCGTCAAAAGACCCATCCCATGGATACCTTCAGGCTCACTTTCAGCCCTACCTCCTGTTCCGGAATCAGTAGAAGAGGAGGAAGAAGATAATGAACCAATGCCTAATGCGCCAGTAACTACACCACACCTTAGTATACACCCCGAGAACCAATCAAAATTCATCTTCAGACCCAGCCACACCGAGCAACTCATTCGAGCCACATTGCATGTGCTGCAGTTTGCAGTGGCGTACTTTGTGATGCTGCTGGGGATGTACTACAATGGGTATATTATTCTTTGTATCTTTGTTGGGGCGTTTGTGGGGTTTTTGCTCTTTTCGTGGGGTAGGGATCTTGGTACTAGGGAGTGAGTTTCTTTTTTCTTTCTGATTACTAGGTTATATTGCTGTTATGGTTTGTTGGTGAGTGAGTGACTGACTGATGGAGTATGTATGTACAGGATCAGGAACGACGCCACATCCGTGACTAGATGCTGCGGCTAGGTGGGTGGGTGGGTGTTGGAGCTTAGTTTGACATGATGCCTTTCTGTTGATATTGAGATGTTGCGGTGGTTGCTATCTTGGAGAGAGGGTTGTTTTCTAATGTGTTGGGAGGGTGGATAGTAGGGTTAGGGAATGATGTATGTGTATGTTGGAGTCTTTCTTTCGGGGAACTACTACATGTCGAGTGAGAGTACTATCAAGGGATAGCACCGGTGGTGGATTAATGCATCTATCATGCATAAGACATAATGTTAATAAGAGTCTGATACACTATGTCTGTTAGAAAGAACCAAATATAATGGCCATTCTCTCATCACAGCTGCGAAGTAGTACTGGAATATGATGATATCATAAACTATCTCTACTAGATAAGATAATGCCGGGGAATCATCTATAACATAATATATGAACGGGGGGGGGGAATTTGTTACTCACTGAATGAACGATCAAATACTAGTCATATCCCACATAACCACAAACGACTACGCCATACTCCCTCCCCGATCACATCATACTTTAGCTTAGCTCAGCCCAGCTGGGCCCCCATCCCAGCCTTGGCCAGCCCTCAACCCCTCACTTTTACCTTACTAACCTCTCTTCCAAGGTAACTTACATACGTATACATGAACCATCAACACAACTACTATGGAACACTATGCAGATAAACAAATTAATCTATTTGTGTCGATTTATACAATCAGAGAACAAAGGAAATAAAATACATGAAAAGACCACAGACCCGCTCACACAGCCCTAGATACCGATAGTAGTCTCATTAAAGCCACCTGCATGCAACACAGCAGTAGCAGCAGCAGCAGCAGCAGCAAGCAAGCAAGCAAGGAATGGAATAGAAATGGGGATGCGAGCCGGCCGTATTCGGAACCGGGAAACCAATCCGAGGTTCGAATTGCACTGCTTTGCCCCCCTCCCCTCCCCTCCCCTCCCCACCGGAGAAAAAGAGGGTTGAGAGTGTGTTGGAGCGGGGTTGAATTCATGTAGTACGGGTTTAGTGCCAGTCTACTACTAGGTTGCCACGTTCGGTGGGATCTACTTATCTTTGGCTGGGTTTAGAGGAGGTTATGTAGGGATTTCGTCACTATGGTTATTTACGAGGTGGGTATTACTGGATCTTTCTATCAATACTGTAAGATGTAGAGAATTGCATATAGTTACTGCAATACGATGGTACAAACTTGAAAGGAAACTTATTGACAATTGGTATGGACACTCTAGATTACACCGGGTAGGGAGAAAGAGAATTGTCCACCATTAATCCTCACAGTGCTGGGTTTACACCAGCTCGTGGGATGATATCCCAATTTTGCCATCTGTTATCCTTGGAAACCGCTTACAACTCACCGCAGTTGACGATGGTGGGCTTGATGTTGGAGCGGATGGAGCCGGAGGAGGAGCCGAGAGCCTCGATCTCCTTCACGACCTGCATGGAGTCGGCATCGGCAACCTCACCGAAGACGACGTGCTTGCCATCGAGCCAAGAGGTGACAACGGTGGTGATGAAGAACTGGGAGCCGTTGCTGCAGATGCTGTTAGCTGTCTGAGGCCTAATTTTACGAGTGACAGTAGAACTTACGTGTTGGGACCAGCGTTGGCCATGGAGAGGAGACCGGGCTTGTTGTGCTTGTAGATGAAGTTCTCATCGGCGAACTTCTCACCGTAGATGGAGCGACCACCGGTACCCTGGATGATAATATCAGTCAAATCGTTCACTCCCACACAGCTGCCCACGGAGGCGGATCAAAATAGCGGGATTACTCACGTTGTGGCGGGTGAAGTCACCACCCTGGAGCATGAACTGGGGGATGACACGGTGGAAGGTAGAGCCCTTGTAACCCTCACCCTGGGGCTTGGTGCAGAGCTCACGGAAGTTGCGGGCGGTCTTGGGGACGTCCTTCTCGAAGAGGTTGAAGACGATACGGCCCGTCTTGGCTAGAGAGCAGGAAAGAGCGCAAAGTCAGCCAAAGGATCCAGCAAGCATTAAGAGAATGCATTCAACCCAAGGAATGAAAAGAAAATCGCGATTGTGGGAGAGTCCTCGATGGAATGCATCCCAGCACTCCCATTTTCTTCACAAGGAGGGGTAAAATCATCCATGCAGGAAAAAGGGTGACGACAGCAACGAAGGACGATGAGAAGTAGAAGGGAAACACTTACGGGCACTGGAGCCCACGGGGGCGTACTGAACTTCAAAGAAGGCTTGAGTGTTTCCAGACATGGCTGCGGATGATTGATGGAAAGGACGAAGAGAGAGGAAGGAAGATTGCTTGCAATTGGGGATGGAGAAGAGGGGACGAGAAGCGAAGGGCGAGCAAGGTGGGGTTATTGTTGACCTCAGGCTTCGGGAGAACATTGTTGCTGGAGGGGCACTGGCTGGCTAACCGCTTCCGTCCTGTGCGTCAGCCCATGCGCGCCAATCATGCAACTTGCCAGGCCATCCGCCGTGGGCCTCAGGCCGCTCCGTGGAAGAACATGGAAGTCCTCCGACCGTCCAGTAGTGAAGTGAGTAGCTACCAGCTAGTAACTTAAGTAGCTTGCTCACTTCAAAGCAACCGGACCAGGGGGGGATAACTGCCATTGGTCCCCTTCTATCATCGGGGCCGGCCAATGCAATTGGGATGCATCACTTACAGTACTATCTAAAGAAAAGAATTGAGGTAGAAAAGAATAATATCTCGTCTCACGAATTGCTGTAGCTGGTTGCTTGCTGCTTTGCTGGCGTGGAGAGCAAAAAGAACTGGAGAAACCGCGTCGGACAGCGGAGGAAAATATTCCTGCTACTGCCCCAACCGGGGATAGCTCATGATTAGCTAAGACCCGGTTCGGTCGGAAGCTTTCCAGAACCAGAAATGGTTCTCACCTCCAGTCTACAACAGCGCTAAGACAGCTGATCGTACACGTGATTGACCACTCAACACCTGTTTACTATGTAGTAAGGCGATTCTTATAGTTTCTCTGATATCTACCAGGGAACCTGTCAACATTCACTACTCATTCATCGCGGAAAGCAATGGCCACAGCCAATCGTATACAACCATCACCAAATCTATCTATCGAGCCATCTAAAAGGACTCCAGGAAAACAATAACCACGGCACACAAGAGAAAGAAGACCCCGTATGGTCAATTCAAAAGTCAGAAAAGAAGAAGCATTTCCGGGGGGGTGGAACGTGTAAAGAAAATGCCGCAGTATAAATTCTGAAAGAAACACGAAATCAGTCCAGTCCTACAAGGACCATCATGCAGAAAGGAAGAAAAAAACGCTAATCAAATAGAAGCAGAGAAGAATATCAACCGCAAATCCAAAATAAATCAACAGAAGATAAAGAAAGGGAGAAGCTGAATAAAAGTACATCGCTCCTGAAGTCAGGGTGCGTCTGGGAGAAAACAAAATCTGTCGTAAAGCTCCACCAGATTACAACACGTCGTTCCACATGGTTGCTCGTTGTCATGCGTGATAACTGCAAAAGTAAGGAAAGCGAGATTGCAAGGTCCAGCAGTTCGGTTGGTATCATGGTGCCAAATCAGCATGCTAGAAAGAGATAGAAGGGAAAAGAGAATAACGCTGCTGCGATTCTCGGGCTGAAGAAGCCTAGAAAGAAATAATATCATGATGACCCTGAGGCGGATGGACTATCGGAAATCGTCCTCCTCCTCAAGGCTCGCGGGGTCCAACTGATGAGCAAGCTCCTTGGTTACCCGGGGAATCTCAAACGCAATGGGTGGAAGCTTGTTGGTCACTTCTCGAAGCCCCTCAGGACTGCTAGAAGCCTCGCCCTCGGCCGCAGCGCCTACAAGGCGGTGCTTGTGGTATTCCAGCATCTCGAGCACAGGATCAATGCGTTGCCGAAGAGCCGGGCTAGCCTCTGGTCTCTTGACAAAGTGCTGAACCGACGAGGTAACATTCGTCACCACAGAAGAGATAGCAGAGACATGGGTGCTGATCGTGGTCAAATCACGATCGGCTCGGATGCTGTCGATGAGGGCTTGGATTGACTGAACCAGGCCATTCGTCTGATCCTCAACGTAAAGCTGTCGCCGCAATTAGCACACATTACCAGTATCTAGAGATATTATAACATACCTTCATCTCCTGAAGTTCGTGGTTCTCGGCTTGCGCGCTGTAGTCTTGCACTGCCACTGAAATTCCGTGGGGAGCATCAGGCGGGGGGCTCATGGCACTGTAGACAGAATCATTGCGACTGTGTCGGCTTTGACTAGGAGCCACGCTGAAGTAGTCCGGAGACTTCATCTGACTAAAGTTAACCTCATCGTCATCCTCGTGGGTTTCATCAGGAGGAGTAGATCGGATCTTGACGAGGCGTATGAGTTCAATGACAGCAGCCGACAGATGAGAAGCAGCGGCATCCAGAAGGGAGACAGGTGAGAGCCCGTTGGACTTCACGAAATTCTTGGCTGCCGTGATCAGATTGTTCGCGGTGGTAGAAAGCTTGCTTATAGCCTTCGAACGCAGTGCCGATGACCCATCGTTTGGATCTTGGCTTTCTTGCACGTCCTGCAGCATATGCCGTACCGCCATAACCACAGCATTGATCTGGCGTGTCACAACATGGTAATCTTCATGGCGTGCAGTGTGTAGCAGCTCGTCAATAGATATCTGGAACTTCGCAACATGAACATCCTTGACCAAGCCATTTTCATGGAAGATATCACGATCCCTCGTCAGAGTTGCGGCATCGGAACGGATTTCTGTCCCAATAGATGATGTGCGAAGGTGTCCTGCCTGCGCCTTTGCCTTCTCATAGCGGGTCTTCCATTGTTTGACTTGTTCCTCCAATCTGTGAACCTCGGTCGTAAGTTGCTCCTCGTGTTCCCACCGGGACTGGCTTTGCTCGGACAACTCCCTCATCTCCCTCAGGAAGCCAGCTGCCTCCCGTCTGACCTCTTCTGTCACTGACCGCTGCTCTTGCAGCTCGGTCTGCAGGCTTTGATGCCTGATCTCAAGATCAGCAAAGCGGGCCTGCAACTCTGGGTCTCCAGTGTTTTGCCGTGATGCTTCTTCCAACTGGCTCCGGAGGTCGTTCTCGATGGCCTCATGCTCGGCCCGAACCTTGTCCAGTTCCAGCTGCAAGTTGCTGTTCAGATCCTCGGCCTGGGAAATTTTGCTCTCCAGATCTGACTTCAAATCCTGCCATTCTTGCCGTTCGCTACTTGTGACCTGTGAATTCTGTTAGCAAGAACAATCAATGGGGGCCGAGGAAAATCGTCTGCCTACATCTGACGTGGTTTGACTTTCTCGGTATTTAACGAGCTCCTCATCCTTGGACTTGACCAAGTCCTCCAAGGTCTCAACCTTGCTCTGATCTTCCTGGTACTTGGATATCTCCTCATCCTTGGATTTCAGTAGATCCTCGAGCTTGTTCACCTTGTCCTGCAAAGCAGAAACCTGCGATTGAGTTTCCGCCAAAGCCTTTCTGTCGGCGTCTGCTAGAGTAGCCCCTGTCCCCCGCCGACTTTGCAGAACCGCATCGAGAGCAAATGCATCGCTCCGCACATCATAATCGTCCTCCGTACCTGCTCCATCATCGTCGTCCTCGACCATAGTACTCTTGTTCGGAACAATAGTGTTACTTTGGAACGATTTGGCCATTGGCCCATCGCCATTCATGCCTGGCGGCGGCCCACCAAGTGACCCTTGACGTGGGGGATACATCGGACTTGCTGGAGGTCCACCAGGGGGGTAGCCCATTCGAGACGGGGGCCCACGAGACTGCGAACGCGGCCCTCCCGGCGTCGGAGGGTATCCGTTCGGTGGATAGCCATTGGATGGCCGTCCGCGGTAGCTGGGAGCCGGACTCAACCTACGAGATTCCCTAGAAGGGAATTGAGGAAACCGTCGCTCTAACTCGGTATAGACATCCGTCGCGAGATCTCGGAAACGCTGGTGCTGAAGCGAAGCAAGCTTTTGGCGCGCCTGGTTGCGCTTTTCATGGAAATCCTTGCGCGGTGGCAGGAACGGGGGAATATCAGGGCGAGGGGGTCGGTTCGGAGCCGGCATGGCTGCTTGTCGCCGGAGCAGTTCATCATAAACGTCGGTACTTAACTCGTGAAACTGAGTGGCGGAGAGTCGTAGCAGCTTGTCGCGGGCTTTGCTTGACTTGTTTGCTCTATCATCACGATGGGACGCATGAAGGAACCTCCTGAGGGCAACATAGTGCTGACCTAGGACCTCCTCCATCCGCTTGTGTCGCTTGCTGCGTTGATCCGACAAGGTACCATCGCTCGATCGCGCTGCCACCGAGCTCGGGGGAGAGGGATTCCCGGCATCGCTGACCGGGCCCGACGAACCGTTTGTAAGTCCTGTGCCATTTGAACCGCTGGGTACACCGGAGGTAGGAGGTGTGGCAAGGGCGCTGCGAGTCGAGAAGGTCGGGGAGAAAGGCGGATCCGATTTCTGATACTGATTGATGCCGGACCAGTCACTCCCGTCCACGGAGACAGGCGACATAGTCCCGGAGGGAGCGTTCATAGGGGGGTTTGCTGTCGGTAGGCCCGTGGGCACCGTGCTAGCTTAACAGGAAAGGGAGATCTGGGTCGGTCCAAAGCCAATATGCTTATCACTATGCATCCGAGGTAGGGTGAGGTTGCGACTCCAAGGCCATTGATGAGGACTGAGTATAGGTATCTGAGAATCGGAGGATTTCGCTCGTGGCGGGTGATAAGGAATGGACGGCCGCTGCGACTGAGAGGGGGCTAATGCTTCCTCCGAACAGAATGAAAACAAAGGAAGGAGGAATCCGATGCGGAATGTAGAATAGAACGTGCCGGAGGCACCTGTGTCAACAGAAGTCGGCACGGGGATACGACCGGTCACCAACAGGCATACCAAAATAATAAATTAAATTGTAGCGACCACAAAAAAAGACCTAAAGCGGCGGCCTTTGGGGAAGGGGAAAGGAAAATAGATCAGTAGGGATTGGACCCAGGCAGAAACAAGCAGCGGGAGAAGCAGCAGCCACCGCCGAAGTTGACCTGGGTTTGGTGACGCCCCAAGAAGTGGAGTTTGGAAAAAGGGCCGGACTAGGGAGTGGCCGAACTTCTTTGGGGGGGGGCAAGACTTGGGAACCCAAGGGGGAAAAGGTTGAATGAATGACTGACTGACTGACTGAATGAATGGAGATGGATGAGAGATGGGCTAGGCTAGAAAGATGGAGCCTGGGGGGGTAGACGGGCGGACACGATGGTGAGCAAGTGAGAGAGCCAACGACCACTTCCTCTTGGAACGGGAAATTATTTGGCGGCTGATGGGAGATACATCCACAATACCTACTCATGTACCTTACTAGGAACCTTGGAAAGAACTCCGTTCATACCATACATACCTGGAAGGTATGGTACGGTATGTTCGTACGACCTCAACCTCCATGCCTGAAGCGCCTGTCGCGGACAAGTTCTTTTTTTTCACTTACCTTTACTTTTTCTCCACGGATCTTGATATCTTGGATGTGCGATCAGCTGGAGTTATCATTCTTATCCATGATCCATCCTTACTTATCGCGAGTAAACCTGAGACATTTTCTATCATGACATCGGGCACTAGAACTTTGAGTGGGTTGCTACAACTACATTCTGAGACAACAAACAACCACCTTCTTCTAGTACCCTACCAGAAGCCAAAGATCGCCTGGGATAAAGACAGTACCGTGACTTGCTCATCCTACCTCAATCTTTGGGTGCTAAAGTAGGTTGTGTA